ACACTTCTGAGAAGCCTTTCAAAAATAATTTCTTTAAGACTTCTATATCATGTTAAACTTATTCCCTTATCTGAAAAAGAACGGGCATCTCATCAATGTAGTCCATGTCTAATTAAGACAATAAGCTATGGGCAGGAAGTGGATCTAAAGTTTTTAAAAGATCCAAACATCCTCCTGGGCCTCAAAAGAATAACAGTTGGTAAGTGGCTAACCTAAATCCATATTCCCCCTCTCTCTTAACCATATACAAGGACTAGGAGACCACGTGCCCAGTAGTTACAACAAAGGATTGGGATCCAAGTCTCGGCTGCTAATCCACACAGAGCCAAATGAGTCACTATGGTATGTGACCTCAGAGAAGTCATTTCAGTTCACAGTGCCTCACCCAGCCAACTTAAGGAATAGTGTTAAAATGCCAGGCCCCATTGAAAGCCATATGTTGCATCTGTACACAACTTTATGCAAAAACAAAATTGGTTAATTTTAAAGTGAGTTGATTTGAAGACAAAGATGCTGTGTCTGAGGAGAGACTTGAGGCTTTTTTCTAGCCATGTTATTCCCTGACCCTACCATCATCAAAATTCCTATCTCCTTGCTTTCCTTCACATTGCACAATTCTAACTAGGACATCCCACAGCAAGAGACAATGCTTTAAATACTAACTTTTCCCCCTGATTCTGCTGTGCACTGTTGAATAGTTTGAGAGTGGCTGCAGTTCAGTGGTAGGTTAAGCTATTACAGTACATCTAGGTCTAAATCATGTAGACCTTACAATAGATAAAGCTAGCATGTGAGCTTTGCAAGGACCAAGAATGATTGCAGGATTTAGTCTCTGGAGTTCCAAGTGCTTTGGGATGCTACCCAAGTATGCAGTATTCAAGCCATGCCCCATCCCCTCCAATCATCTACTAGCCTTGAGCATGGTACCTTTGTGCATTAACCAGCCAAATGACTGAGCCTGCAGGATCAATATGTTGCTTGCTTCCTTAGGTAGTATTTTTAAGTATTGCTTGCCTTAACATCTACAAGAGGTAATGATGGCCAACCAAACTATACAAGGAACTACCCAGAACAGGTTGTTTCAAAACATTTTTCACTGCTGTGGCCAAAAAACCATCCATATCTAGATTATCCTCAATGGAGGAGTAAAGGGGAAAAATAACCCAAAGTCTGACCACATTTTTGCCCTGAAGACTGCCAAGTATGCGCTTCAACAAACTACTATAATGAGCACAAGTTCTAAAAGGCCAGAAGGCTTCACACAGAAAATGCTCTGCTCTAGCCTGGAAAAGTCAGTGAGAGAAAGAGAAGGAATGACCAACAGGATTCCTACAGCCAGCCTTAACTATGTCTACAGGATGTGACGTGAAAAGCTAAACTAACAAGTTCTCAGAGCATTTAGATAACACCTTGAATTGCAGCTGGAAGAGGGAGGGGCACTCAGTACAAAAACATCTGAAGATGTTATATGCCTATAATGGCCTGTCCAACTCAGACTGGCTGCATTCTGCACTAGCCGGGGCCTTTTAATCCTTTTGTCACCAGGCAAAACGACTCTATTTTTGAAGAGTTATTAGAAATACAAAATTAGGCTCTTTAAAAAAAAAGATCACATGCATTGAAACCACCTACTGCAATACTCTGCCTAATACCTTTGAACAACAAACAGTGCAGCATCATTTAAGACCCTGCTGGATTTTTATTAATCACTCCCATATTAAAGAGCCAATGAAAGCCTCAAACAAGAGGATAGCAATGTACACCCTTCCAACATTAGATTGTTAATGCAAGAGCATTTCCTTTGGGAGGTTTTATACCATCATTTAATATAAATGTATTTTCTCAAATTTCATTGGCAAAACGAGAACAGTCTAATCAGGATGTAGCAGAATTAATCACCGTTCAAGACACAACTTTAGCCCATTTTTAGTGGTGTCTGCAGAAAGCACACAGCTTTCAGTTCCACAAAAGTTTTTACTGCTGCTGGAAAGGACAGAAAAAATCTTCAAGGCACAATTATGGTTCTATAAATACATAGAAGAATTCTCTGGCAACCTCTGTTTAATAGCTCTGTTTAGAGGTCAGACTTTGTGGGTGATATAATGCAGTGTGTGTTTTAATGAGGATGTTTGCATTAAGTATCAGTTTGGCAGAGAACAAAAGGTGAGTTACATCAAAGCTGTATTAAAAAAAAGAAGTCACAGGGTGACTATTTAATGGCTTCCAGAGAAAGCTTTCTAGTATAAAAAGGAAAATTGCTCCCCCACCAGCACCAACAACGTGTGTCCCCAAATACAGCAATTAAAAAAGCCCAATAAAAAGAGAGATAATGCTGTGATCCAACCCTGGCTAGAATTTAAAAAACTGTATTTTGGGTGGAGGCAGATCCAGATGGATCCCTTCAGAGGAAAAAAGGCTGATCTGTCCAAAATTGAAGTGATTCATATCCCAAGACTACTTTTGCCTGGAGTTGCCACCACAGCTGCTATCTTGACAACAAAACATAACAAGCTTTGTGCATGTTGGGATATCAGCTGCAGCAGCGCCATGCAAGAAAGCCAGGATAAGGGACTCCTTTGTTCTGATGATCTGGCCACAAGATGGTCTCCAAATTTTAAGCTGCTCTGCATTCTCTGCATTATATAAACTTGTGTGCACACTCCCACCAGCATTCCAGCACTATGCATATACATACTCTAGCCTAAATAATAGTTAATAAGATGAATAGACATTCTTGTCTGATGGCAGAAAGGAAAATATCAGTGGTTCGTCACATCAAAGTTCAGCACATGCTGGGTAATCCCACTCAAGCATCAAACTCATCACAACACGGGGGGGGGGGGGGGGGGGAAGAAGGAGGTAGCAGCCAAGGAAACGTGTTCAGGGCACCAGAACGTGATGTTTTAATCAAGTGAGAATAGTGCAAACCCTGATCTAAAAACAAGAGCTGCACTACAAAAGCAACTAAAATAACCTGGTCAGAACTGTATTGGATTGTCCTGTTTTGCACGTTGTCCTCAACTACCAACTCCCCAGGTAGGGACTCACTTGTTTGGGGCACTTCTTCAATCATGTAACACCCTACACACCCACATGGATATATAAACGAATAATCTTCTCTGGTTTCCTCCCACTTCATGGTGTTATCATCATGGTAGAATCAAAGAAGCCAAAAATATTTTACAGACTGACCTGGATCATATGAAAGTTCCACTAGAGAATCATACTTTTATCTGACACACAAATCTTCTAGCTGAAGGATTTTTAACCTGCCATCACCTTAGTATCTAGGTACCATACACAAAAATTTGGATCATCTCCTCCATCCAAAAGTACCATTAACTCCACTTCTCCACCATTTATGCTGCTTTTCTTCCTGAGGCCAGGATCAAAAGTGATGGCATTGCAGAAGTAAGGGTTTTCTTAGGAGTATACTAACCCCCACCCCCAGAACTGAGGAGTTTTACTTAATGGCTTTTTAACTAAAAAGAGAGATATAGCTGTGACGTTATTGATATAATCTGGGACCATATAGATCATTGTTGCAACCAAGGTCCTGTAGTGGCACCAAAATCTTGTATAAAGGGGGTCAAATGGGGTGTCTTAGACAAGGTTATGGTTTACTGGTTATGATTATGCTGTCTATATGTGTGTATCAATTTTGTAGTTGAAGTTATGAATATTGGCTCTATACTGTCTGTATTTCAAACTTATGCTATGCTGCTGGGTGACATCCCAGACAAGCTGGTGTTAGCTCTGCCTAGCCTGCTTGATGGCCCATTAAGGACCATCAGCTATACAATGGACCCATTGAGAGAAGGCAAATATGCCTTGAGACTCAGCAAAGTATGCAGGGACTGGCCCATGTGACTCCAGGCTCCATTTTGCTGTAATTTTCCACAGTAAGAACAAAGAGGTGTTCTTACACCTGGAAAAGACTATATAAGGCTGATGCCTCATCTCCATCTGGTCTTCAATCCTGCTTCATACCTCTGGAGGAACTTTGCTACAAGCTGAAGCTTTGAACAAAGGACTGAGGACCCATCCCAGCGGGGGATGTATTCCAGAGACTTGATTTGAACCTGCAGTTTATTCTATCGCTGCTGCAAGCCTGAACCAAGAACTTTGCCATTACTGTATGTAATTGATTCCATTTAACCAATTCTAACTCTCATCTCTATCTTTTTCCCTTTATGAATAAACCTTTAGATTTTAGATTCTAAAGGATTGGCAACAGCGTGATTTGTGGGAAAGATCTGAGTTGTATATTGACCTGGGTCTGGGGCTTGGTCCTTTGGGATTGAGAGAACCTTTTTTGTGTATATTGGGATATTGGTTTTCATAACCATTTGTCCCCATAACGAGTGGCACTGGTGGTGATACTGGGAAACTGGAGTGTCTAGGAGATTGCTTGTGAGACTTGCGGTTAGCCAGTGGGGTGAGACCGAAGTCCTCTTAGTCTGGCTGGTTTGGTTTGCCTTAGAGGTGGAAAAACCCCAGCCTAGGGCTGTAACTGCCCTGTTTGAGCAATTTGTCCTGAGTTGGCACTCTCAGTTGGGTTCCGCCAGAACCACATCGTCACAATAGCAAACACAATAAATTCATAATATTAGAAAAAAGTATTCCCTTAATAGTCAAGATAAAAGCCAAACACATCTAGGGAAGAGCTCTGATTCTGCCCTTCACTTTACACGCGTGTCAGCTCCCTCATTAAGTTATTCTCTATTTTCCACTATCCACCATTCCATTCCCCCTTGGAGTTACACTCCACCAGCAATAGTTGTGCTAATCCAGCCAATTAACTCACGCACAAAAGGGAAACTGCTTTTTTCAAACACACACCTGGGTCACTTGAGAGAATAAGGATTTTCCCCTTTAAGTTCCTAACAAAGGGACATGCTGCCCCCTTCCCTCCCCTGCCACCCCCCAACGTTCAATATTTCAGCTCTCTCCTCCCATCCCCATGCCCAGCCTCCAGAAGGAACTTTGCAAAACTCTACTTGAATTGCTGGTCTTTGGTGCTCCTTGTTTTAGCCAGGAATCTCTCAGCCAACTTCTCCAAGTTCCTTGAGTAATCCATCTCGATCTCTGCCTTCTTGCGGAAGAAATCCTGCAAGTCCTGAAGTAGCTGGACCCGAAGCTCGCACTGTTGGTCGAGGCATTTCAGCTGCTCAATGAGTTGGGTGCGAATCTCTGAGCAAGGAGAGAACCGAACAAAATACCAAGTGTTAAATAGAAGCCCAACAAAGGAAAACCAAAATGATAAAAGTTAACCTAGTAAATCAAGGTTAAAAGAGCTCTCCCTCCCCATCAAGAGATCACCAAAAGCATCCAATTAACTGTATCCATAGTTAGAAAATGGTTACAATTACGTTTAGGTGACTATGGCCACAGGACGAGAGTAAGGCGATCTGGAACCCAATATTGTACACTTACAAGCAAAGCTCTACTGCTGAAAATTTCATCAATCCTAAATGTCATGGGCATATCTGTCATTAAGAAATGGTCACTTCCCCAAAAATGTCCTGAATCTCAGCCTAGATAAGACTGCAAAGCTGCAATCTCTCCTCTTCCCCTGCACCTCAAAAATCACTCCACAAAGTCTCTCAATCAAACTCCTTCGTTGACTATTCCTGAGGCAAAACCAAAGGAGCTGTGTGCGTTTTGGATATTCCCAAAAGACACCAATTTGGGATTATTTAGTTAAGTGCAGTTAGTGTGAAACCTCCATTATTAACACAGCACCACCAAACGGATAAACCCCTGTTTGGAGGAGCCAGACAGCATTTCCACTTGGACAAAGCCTCCAAAAGTAACACTTTCTTTTAAAAAAGGATCTCTCCGAATAACATGTATACACATGTATGCCATCCATAAGCCTTTTCAGGTACAAGTGTTCTTTAATGCTGTTTATGAAGCAGAATTATTAGCAGCAATACCAGTTTGCATTTATATGGCATATTTCATTTAAGATTTCAAGGCATTTTACAAATGTGAAATCAACCCTTGAAGCTTTTGGAGATAGGCTGTTAATCTCATTTTACTGATGGAGAAAATGACACAGAATGGCTAATGAGTAGCCCACATTCACACAGTGAATCAGCGTGAAGCAGAGATGTCACAGTCCCTTGCTTTAAAAAAAAAAAAAAAAAAACGAACTGGCAGTTATTGAGTTACTAGGAGAATATTTAGCTTCCAACTCTAGCAATTAACACAACAAGAAAATAATAAAATATGTACTTTCATCTGAGGATCTCTGGGTGCTCAAACATTAATTAGAGCTGCCTATTATCACTGGTGATTTGCTGCTGCTTCTTCCTAAGTGTTGAAAAAACATGTTGTTCCAGGACTGAATTTAAACTGCAATGTAAGTTAGCAAATGAAGTACTTAGCATTCAGGTCTTCTTCTACATGCACAGCTTTGTTTATGCCCGTGGATTGCACGGATGCAAAGCTTTATGATAATGGTCTTATTTGGGGCTGTGGTTGGAAAGTACTTATTCCTAGAATGATCCATTTGAACAACGTAACAGACACTGAAGTAGATTAACAAGACCATTTTTAACGGCACTACAGACAGATTAATAAACTTAAACATTAGTGCAACCAGCTTTGCTTGCCTCCCTGAGCACATCTGTCCTCTTGTCACTGACGGAAACTTATCAGGATCCAGCTCTGACCACTTTACCCTGCCAATGCACCACAAAGACCAGCAGGACAGTGTGAACAAGAAACAGTTCCATGGAGTTCAGTGACAACTCTCAAGCAAAGTGATCATACACCCTTATTTGGGAGGCGGGATAGAGGGAGAAAGGGGAGCAGTGGTAAGGGGTTCTGTTTCAGGTTGTTGTTTTTCCCCCCCAAAAAGTCAGGATATTAGTTAATTTTTTCAAGTTATGAGATAACTTAAGGCTCTCAAATTTGAGTTGATCTTTGTAAAAAAGAGTTTAAATTGGAAGTCTTGCTTTCCCAACAGTTTACCATCCAAGGCAATTCAGAACACATAGTTCAAGGAGCAGGTAAAGGGTGTGATTCCCCCCAGCTGCTCTCTCCCCATAAATGCTACATGAGGGCAAACCTGGTCAACTGTAATTTTTTTCTGGTTGGAGAACTCATGCATCTTCTATCCCTCTGTCAGGGAAAATAAAATTACATGCAAATATGCAAACTTATAGTTGTGTGCATTTATTTTCCGTCAAAACACCAAGCCACATTCATTCCTTCAGGCAGAGTAAAGTGTCAATTGCACTTCCTTCTCCTAGTGTGGCCTGCTACAAAACACAGGATGGGGTTCACACTCTGGGAAAGGTACCACTGCCATCTGTTCTTACAGTCAGGGTTAGATTCCATTTCCATCAGGGCTCCATAGAAGCCAAGCCAGGGGAGACCACAATGGACAGGCACACAGTATTCTTTTAAGTGCACACTGATCATGATCCATGGGCTTCTTGAAAAGGGCCATTGAAACCATTCATGCTGCCAACTGTGGAGTACCCTACGTAGGCAATGTTTAAAAAAACAAAAAAAACAAAAAACAAAAAAAAACCACCACACACCCTACATGTTATCTCTCCTGCAAATTTGTGATACCATGCTGCACATTCATTTCCACATGGCAGTAACATTTCAGGATTTACAGGGGTTGGAGGAAGCAAAACACTTAACACTAACACAAAATTTACTAGCAGTTATTTAATGGTTGATACTCAGTCTACACTATATTTCTTCCCCATTCGGCTTTCTCCCCATTTCCAAAAGCAATAATGGATTTGAAAAGCTTTGTATGCGTGATGAGCTTATTAACGTGCTATGCAAATAGACCTCTTTTCCATCTGTGGCTTTGTCGGTAAGACTGATACAGGAATGAAGGTGAGCCAGCTATATATAATAGACTGAGGAGCAGACAGAGCATTCCATAAGGAATGTGCAGTAATTCATTGTTTCCTTGGTGTAATGAATCACTCTCCTCACCACTTAACCTAATACTCATTTGCAAGTCTGCTATTCTGACACAGAACATCCTGCAAGGCCAACCGCATTAGCGAATTTCTCCTCCTCCCACCCCTCACCTCCTCAAGTAAAACTGATGGTCACATACAGTCAGGTGGTGTTGCTATGTGGTAACTAAGGAAAGACTCCCATTGATTTCAATGAACTTTGCCTCAAGCTCTAAACCTTTAATAGGGTAAAAAAAAAAAAATGTAGCTAGCACACACACAGGTAACAGAGGCACCTGAAAAGTAGATTCCGATCTGTGTCCCAGTAAAAATGGCACAAGCATCATGCATGCAGCAAGTCACTGGCATGCAATGGGTTCTATTAAAAGGTGGAGTAGACAGTTGTGTTTGTTTTTTTAAATAAGAGGGGTTCTATTACCAGAGCGTGGGGGAGGAGCACAGCAGTGCCGAGTACTATCTAGAGCGGGGGGGGGGGGGGGGGTGTCCTTAAACTTCATTGCACTGTGACCCCCTTCTGACAACAAAAATTACTACATGACCACAGGAAGGGGGACCGAAGCCTGAGCCCCGCTGCCCAAGGCTGAAGCCCTCAGGATTTGGCTTGAGCCCTAGGTGGTGGAGCTCAGACTTTGGCTTCAGCGCCGGGCTCCAGCAGGTTTTATGCCAGCGCTGGTGACCCCATTAAAACGGGGTCGTGACCCACTGTGGGGTCCTCACCCACAGTTTGAGAACCGCTGATCTAGAACCTCACCCTCTTTCAATGCCCCAATTTTAGAAGACCCTATAACAAATAATTTTAAAATTATTTGTTAATTAACTGATCTATTGCTTGTAGATGCTCCCTCCAAATGCTTGGAAATGAAAATGCCTCTTCCTCCCTATTTTTGTAATAGCTTGTTTTTTTACATTTGGCAATTTAGTGATGATTTTCACCCTATGGTTCCAAAATCATAGTTAAAAATTAAAATGGCATATTCTGTTCGCTCCATTATTTATGTACCAAGTGTCCTATGGACTGCAGCCCACCTCCTGACACGTCTGTTAGTGAACCATTGCTCCAGAGACTCAAGAGAGCACTGACGGTGGCTCCATTTTCCCCTCAATATTTTTTTTTTAACAGCGGTGGAAGAAAAATATGTTTCTCGGGAATTTTCCAGTTCCATGAACAGGGCCAATTAGATAGGCAGAACTGCAAGGTCTCAATGCGTGGATGAAATATGGTGTTTGAAGGAGGAATTTAGGTTTATGAGGAACTGGACCACCTTTTTGGGAAAGGAGGAGTCTATACAGGAAGCTCCAACAAAATCAAAATGGAAGAAGACTGTTAGAATGTAAAGGCAGGGGAAAGACGATAGGTGTGGAGGAGCACACAGTTCAGACATACGCATCCCTTAGGGAAGGATTTATTAAAGGGGATACTCTATATCCTAGCAAAGAGGAGATGACAGAAGTTGATAAAGTACAGGTAGGAACTGAAGAAAGGAAAGAAAAGGGAAGAAAGAATCCCATTCAATTACACCACATGAAGGCAGACAACCAAATATTGACAAATCTGATAAGTGCTTATATACAAGTAATACAGTAGGTCACACTGGTGGGAAGTGGCACTACATGTGAAAAGAAAGCAATGTCAAATATACTAAAAACCTTAAATGAATCAAACAATACCACAGAATCTCTATGGATAAAAATTCCAAGCATTAATAAGGGTATATAATACCGAGCGGAAATATACCACCAAGCACCTGACAGGTCCTTGACTCTGACTGAAATGCTCAGAGAGATTAGAGAGGCTACAAAAACAGAAAACCCAATAATAGTGGATACAGCTATGATTTAGACAGGTGTTTTTAGTAAAAGTCATGGACAGGTCACTGGCAATAAACAAAAATTCACGGTCCATGACATGACTTTTTACAAAATACCAGTGACTAAATCTTGGGGGGAGGAGGGGCAGCACTGTGGAGCGAGGGCTCCGTGACTGCCACGACCTCAGTGACAGACAGAGCCCGAATAATGGGGGATTTCAACTAGTTCCATACTGACTGGGTACATGTCACCTTAGGATGGGATTCAGAGAAAAATGTATACACCATTCATGATAGCTTCCTGGAGCAGCCAGTTATGGAACGCACAAGGGGAGAGGCAGTTCTTCGTTCAGTCCTAAGTGGTGCACAGGATTAGGTATAAGAGGTGAACATAGCTGAACTACTCAGTAATAGGGACCATAATGGA